ACTTACACACACACCTCCATACACTCACACACACATACACACACCTCTATACACTTACACACACCTACACACACCTCTATACACTCACACACACCGACACACACCTCTATACACTTACACAACAACAACAACAACCGCCATTCGCCACTAAGTGGCGGTGACGTCACCACGACGCTTGTGCCAGGCCAAGTGCACCTTGAGGCCACGTGAAGTATCGAACGCCCGCTGGCAGGAGGTCACGGGGCAGACCCAGCAGGTGCCACGGGTCGACTGACCGAGATGACCGAAATGACTGGCTGATGCACCACCTGTGCCCCCTACTGTACCAACTGCCCAGTAGCGTCCTTCACGAGCCTCCTCCACTGAGGCCGATCTTGACACCGCTGGTACCAGTCATCGGCAAGTCCACTCAGCTCCACGTCCTCCTGTACCACATCACTCCATCTCTTCTCTAGCCCGTGCCGCGCCCGTTTAGCCCCCTCGATCCGGCCGAACAAAAGCTGTTTAGGCATGCGGTGGCTGGGCATGCGGGCTACATGACCCAGTCAACGCAGCCTTGCCTGCCGGAGGAGCTCACCGATGGGATTTTGCCCAGATCTTTCAAGGATTTGTGAGCTCCTCACACAATCCAGCCTGGTTAAACCCAGGATGGATCGTTAGCAGGCCAGCCTAAATAATGTTTCCAACCGGCGAAGATGCTCCATTAGGGGGGTCAACGTTTCGCAAGCGTAGAGAAGGGAGGGAATGACCGTGGCCGAGAAGACCTGAAGCTTCGTGCGGAGCGACAGACCAGGTAGCTTCCACACAGCGTTACGCAACCGATGAAAAGATATTGCCGCTCGACTGATTCGGAGTGAGACCTCTGCTGTTAAACTGGAGCCGGTCATAAGCACACTGCCCAGGTATGGGAAACTCTCCACTCTCTCCACAACTGCCCCATCACCGATTGGGAGTTGTGGGGGTGGAGTGTCCGATGGTACAAAATACCCAGGCAGGTGCTTAGTTTTGGTGGGGCTGATGGTAAGGCCCCACCTCTTAGTGGCACGCTCCAGTCTCAGCTGCAGCGTCTCCAACTCCTCTTCTGAATGAGCAGCTATTACCAAATCATCGGCATACATAACGTGGTTGACCAATAGGGAGCCATCCCTTGATCGCACCCGGGCGTCGATCAGCCTTCCATTATATCTGTACCAAATGGAAATTCCCCCGGTACAGCTATTGAAGGCTTCACGAACTACGCAGTCGAAATAGAGGAGTGAGATGCCCCTGTAGTTGTTACAGTCTGTGCGGTCCCCCTTCTTAAAGAGGGGGACCACCAGGACATCCTTCCAATCCTGCGGAACCCGTCCAGTGGTCCAGACTGTTGTTATGATGTCATATAGGGCAGTCTGTGCACAAACGCCACCCTCCCTGAGCATTTCGCTTGGGAGATCATCTCTGCCCGGTGCCTTTTCTAGTCTCAGACTCCGGACACACCTACACACACACACCTCTATACACTCACACACACCTACACACACCTCTATACACTCACACACCCCTACACACACCACTAGACACTTACACACACCTACACACACACCTGTATACACTTACACACACCTACACATACACCTCTATACATTTACACACACCTACACACACCCCTCTAGACACTTACACACACCTACACACACACCTCTATACACTCACACACACCTACACACACACCTCTATACACTCACACACACCTATGTAATAAGAGCCTATGTCCGGCTCACGTGGTGATCGGCTCTGCCGGTCCTGCTTTACAGCCAATGGGGGGAGAGCCTGGGAGCATGGCCCTGGCGTGATCGAGGGGTGCCAGCTAGGGTGATTGGTTCTGCTGGTTTTGGCCTCAGCCAATGAGAAGACAAGTCAGGGGCATGGTCCCGGGAGTTGATGGGGAATCTAGAAGATTCGGCGCAGGCTACCAAGGATTGGCTGGAGCGTACCACGTCACCCAGGCATTAAATAAGGGGAGAGATGAACGACACGTGGTCAGACGAAGAACGAAGGAAGAGAGGGGCTAAGCGCGAGCGGGGCTCCGAGTGCCACGTGGCGGTGCGTCTCTTGTGGTCTGTCTGCCCACTCCCCGTTGCCTGCCAGCAGCGGGGAGTACTTGTGAACTGGAATAAATAAAAGGACCGATTCCACAAGTCGTCTCCAAGAGTATTATTACACCTACACACACACCAATATACACTTGCACACACCTACAAACACCTCTATACACTTATATACCTACACATACACCTCTATACACTTACATACCTACACATACACCTCGATACACACACCTACACACACCTCTATACACTCACACACCTACACACACACACCTCTATACACTCACACACACCTACACACACCTCTATACACTTACATACCTACACATACACCTCGATACACACACACCTACACACACCTCTATACACTCACACACACCTACACACACCTCTATACACTTACATACCTACACATACACCTCGATACACACACACCTACACACACCTCTATACACTCACACACACCTATATACACTCACACACACCTACACACACCTCTATACACTCACACACACACCTCTAGACACTTACACACACCTACATACACACCTCTTTACACTTACACACACCTACATACACACCTCTTTACACTTACACACACCTACACACACACCTCTATACACTTACACACACCTACACACACACCTCTATACACTCACACACCTACACACACCTCTATACACTCACACCTACAAACACACCTCTATACACTCACACACCTACACACACACCTCTATACACTTACAGACACATACACACACACCTACACACACACCTCTATACACTCACACACACCTACACACCCCTACACACACCTCTATACACTTACACACACATCTCTATACACTGACTCACACCTACACACCCCTCTATACACTCACACACACCTACACACACCTCTATATACTCACACATACACACACACCTCTATAGACTTACACACACCTACACACACCTCAATACACTTACACACACCCTTCAACATACTAATGTAGTGGGTACAATGGAGAGAGGCAAGACCACTCAGCTCCACATGCTCCCGTACCGCATCAGTTAATCTCTACTCCAGCCCATGTCGTGCCCAAATCTTGACTTAACGCTTTCGTGACTGCTTCTTTCTTTGAACCTATCTACGTGACTTTACCGAAAGACCCAAAGAACATGTCGTGCCCGTTTAGGCCCGTCTATCCGGCCAAACAGAAGCTGCTTGGCCATGCGGTGGCTGGGCATGTGGGCTACATGACCCAGCCAACGCAGCCTTGCCTGCAGGGACTTTGTCCAGATCTTTCAAGGAATTGTGAGCTCCTCACACGATCCAGCCTGGTTAACCCCAGGATGGATCGTAGGCAGGACAGCCTAGATGTTTCTAACCGGCGCAGATATTCCATTAGGGGGGTCCACGTTTCACAAGATCGTAAGCAATGTCCCATGGCCCGACTTTCCCGCCTGTCGAGGTTCTTTCAGGCCACAGGGTTATTGGCCAATGTGTTGCGTTTGTCGTCTTGAATTGCGTTCGTGCGTCGCTGCCAACGCAGCTTCACCCAATAATCTGCAGCCCCAGAGACTCGGCCACGAGAGGGCGCCGCGTCACCGCCGTGCACCGCAGTGGCAGCAGCAGCAGCAGCAGCGCCAGGCTCCTGCCACTGCGCTACACGGTCCTGTGCCGAAGCAGGCCCATATATCTACTCTCATCACCCAGGAATGTCTGTCCTTAACGCTCGTGACGTCACTCCACATCGACCAACCCCCTAATTAATATTCATGAGCAGGTGACGTCCTCCACATGGACACCCCCCCCCCCCATTAATAATAATTAGTGGGTGACGTCACTCCACATGGGGAGCCGAGGCGCCTCCTCCCCCCTCCTCGGCGTCAACTCACAACCCTCACGACAAAGGCAGAACAACCCTGACGTCACGCGATCTCCATAACGCAGTTGAGACATCAAAGTAAAAAGGACGCCATGATGAACAAGGGATGATAACCTGTAAATGAAATAGGTCCGTGTCACCGCGGCCTTACAGATTGCACACGAATGGATGCAATGGATATCACGTCGCGGTCTGCTTTGTCGCTTGCAAGTTTCACATTTACTGCAATACACCCGTCCTTGGACGGGCAAAAGGCTCGTCTAACAGAGTGGTTCCCTGTCAGTAACATCTGGCAGTTCACCAGTGTTGGTTCAAGCGAGCCTGACTGCTGATGAGACACTGAGAGATGAAGCCTGTTTCAGGGTGCTGTTTGTGCTGAGTTAATGTTGATGATGAGATGCACTCTGAGAAGGTTGTGCGGCTGAGAAGCACCAATCGCTTTATGTGCGTGGAGAAGTGGCGATGTGGAGGCTGTACAGCCTGGTTGTCTTGTTCCTTGCGTTGCAGCAGCAGCAGCAGCTGTAGTTGTGCGTTCGTCCACTAGAGGGCATCACGTGCCTTGTGGAGAACCTGCAGTGCCCCTACATCCTATAGCCCTGACCCTATAGCCCTGTCCCTAACCTAATAGTGTTGTTGTCCTTCCCCGGCACTTCGGATTAGCACGATTGGCTATGTACGGTGCGAAAGAAGTTCAGCATACATCATGTTCATCTCAGGCCGCCTTCAATAGCTGCCCCCAGACATGAGTTATCATTTGTGGTCAAGTGGCTTCTGAAATATAAGCTAATACCTCATTGGATTTTACCTAATAAGATAACAAAAATTGCTTAGTAACCTTTTTACTGATTTGTTTACTTTTCCTATACCTTGCACTCCGATCGTATTTTTTGGATTGTTTGTTGCTGTAACGTTCAAACCCGCCCCTACTGGACATCTCTGAAAAAAGCTTTATAGCTCATCGGATTCCTCCAGTATGATTACATATTCAGATTTTGATTCTCATTTACATATCTAGGGCAGCTCGTGTTGGTAGTGAGCCCCGATGAAGGCCAGCAAGGCGCTCGAAGGGGACGGAGTGGTCACAACCGTGTCTGGTCCTCAGACCCACCCACCCAATCACTCAATCATTCAAATACGCAATTACCCACGGACATATTCACCCACTCACTAAATTACCCACTCAACCACTCACTCAACGACTCACCCACCCACTCACCCACTCACTCACCCACTCAAGTACTCACTTAGTCACCTACTCACCCACTCATTCAATGATTCACCGACTCATTCACTCGCTCACCCACCCACTCACCCATCCACTCACCCACCTACTAACTCACCCACCCGCTGACCCACCCACGCACCCACTCGCCCATTTACTAACTCACCCATCCGCTCACCCACCCACGAACCCACTCACCTCCCCACTCACCCACCACTCATTTACCCACTCATTAACCCACTCACCCATCCAACCACTCACTCAAATATCCACTAATTTACCCATTCACCCATCCAACCACTCAATTATACACTCACACACAGACTCACGAACTCACCCATTCACCCAATCACTCATTAAAAAATCCACTCACCCACGTTCTCATTCCCCACTCGCTCAATTACCCACTAACCCACCCAAGCACGAAACCATGTATCCACCTCCCTATTCATTGAATTACTCATTTAACCACTCATTCATTCAAACTAACTCACTGACCCGCCAACTCACTCATCCACCCACCTAATCATTTACCAACTTAACCACCCACTTACGCATTAACACATTCACACATCCACCAATCGACACACTGAATAACCCACTCATTCATCCACCTACCACACACCCACCCACTCACCCACCCACTCACTCACTCTCCCACTCACCCTCCCACTCACCCTCCCACTCACTCTCCTACTCACTCTGCCACTCACTCTCCCACTCACTTTCCCACTCACTCTCCCACCCACACCCACCCACTCACTCATCCACTAATTTACCCACCCACTCACCAACCCACCCACTCACCCACCCACCCACTCTCACTCACCCACCCACTCACGCACCTCCTCACCCACCCACTCACCCAATCACTCAATCATTCAAATACCCAATTACCCACGTACGTATTCACCCACTAATTCAATTACCCACTCAACTACTCACCCACTCACCCACTCAAGTACTCACTCGGTCACCTAATCACCCACTAATTCAATGATTCACCGACTCATTCACTCGCTCACCCACCCACTCACCCATCCACTCACCCATCCACTCACCCACCTACTCACCCACCTACTAACTTACCCACCTACTAACTCACCCACCCGCGTATCCACTTACTAACTCACCCATCCACTCACCCACCCGCCCACGCACGCACCCACCCACCCAATCACCTCCCCATTCACCCACCACTCATTTACCCACTCACCCATCCAACCACTCACTCAAATATCCACTAATTTACCCATTCACTCATCCAACCACTCAATTATCCCCTCACACACAGACTCACGAACTCACCCATTCACTCATTCAAAAATCCACTCACCCACGTACTCATTCCCCACTCGCTCAATTACCCACTGACCCACCCAAGCACCAAATCATGTAACCACCTCCCCATTCATTTAATTACCCATTTAACCACTCATTCATTTAAACTAACTCACTGACCCGCCCACTCACTCATCCACCCACCTAATCATTCACCAACCACCAACTTACTCATTAACACATTCACACATCCACCAATCTACACACTGAATTACCCACTCATCCATCCACCTACCACACACCCAGCCACCCACTCATTCACACACTGACCCACTCATTCAATTACCCATCCAACCATTCAACCGCCTAGCATCCAATTACCCACACACCGATGCACTCATTCATCCAGCACCTACCAACCCAACTTGCCACTCGATTTTGGTGTACCCAGTTGTACTGTTTGGCGGACAGAGGCAGGGGAACTTAAGATACTCGACCATTTTGGGACCTCCTTTGCCAGTACCAAAATATACTAATAGGGGTTTTCCCCTTTTTTCTGGCAACATTTGACTGCAAGTATTGTGGTTAATGTAAGCATGATGCCTTGCAAAAGGTGTCAGTTTTGTTGCCAGAAAAAAGGGGAAAACCCCTATTAGTACTCGACCATTTGTTTCAACTGCTGTGCCAGAAGGTGGAACCAGCAATCTCTCTATTGCCAGTGAATTTTACGAGCCATTGCATCACAGCAGCCCCCTCCAGTATTTAATGTTTAACGAGGATCTCTCTCTCTCTCTGCGTGCACATCAGGGTAATATTTAATGAGGTGGTGTGGACGTCTCGCTGCTGCGTGATGGATGTGATGGCAGTGGGAAAGTGGGGCAATGGAACAGCGGGTCATTAGGGCAGAGTAGCACCAGCGCAGTGGACCAGCGGAGCATAGGGGCATTGAGGCAGTGGGGCAGAGGGGCAGTGGGGCCGTGGGCATTGGGGCAGCAGGACAGCGGAGCAGCTTGGCAGAGGGGCAGTCAGGGGGCGGATGTGTCAGACGAATCGCCTGATTATCTTTTCCCACCACTGCCTGTACACGTTCTGAAGAAGGGCCATTGCCTGAAACTTCTCTCATGACATAGTTGTCATTGTACCGCCGCACACACAGCCGGGACACTGCACACGAGACAAGGCACATTTAACCAACCCAGGCAGCACTCGCAAGCAATGCAAAGTTACATTGTTTCCTCATAAGTTTATGTCGTTTATAATAAAAACAACAATGATAAGTATTACATAATACATTGGATTGATCCTATCTCTGAACAGAGTTAGTCTGTTGGCAGCAGTCATTGTCCAGTCCAGTCCTGGCATCTGCTGCTCAGTTTCCTTCCCCGGCTGCGGTCCCAGTGGCACCGTCTTTCCGGGGGTGCGTGTGGTGCGTGTGGTGCGTGTGGTGCGTGTCACGGGGTGGGTGGGTAGATGGTGTGGTGCATGTGGTGATAGCGGTCATGGTAAGCACCGCACCACCTCCATCACCCCAACTGTGCGGTCGACCGGTCGCAACAAAACAGCATCATGCTGCGGAGGAGCGCACGGATTGCGTTCGCCACACGAGCCAGGCCCTTTCGTTCCTGCACTACCACCTCCTCCTGTGTGGAGGTGTGAGTAAGGGTATAGAGGTGTGTGTGTAGGTGTTTAGGTGTATAGAGGTGTGTGTGTAGGTGTGTAAGTGTATAGAAGTGTGTGTGTAGGTGTGTGTAAGTGTATAGAGGTGTGTGTGTGTAGGTATGTGTACGTGTATAGAGGTGTGTGTGTAGGTGTTTAGGTGTATAGAGGTGTGTGTAGGTGTTTAGGTGTATAGAGGTGTGTGTAGGTGTGTGTAAGTGTATAGAGGTGTGTGTGTGTAGGTGTATAGAGGTGTGTGTGTGTGTTGGAAACATTTAGGCTGGTCCTGCCTACGATCCATCCTGGGTTTAACCAGGCTGGATTGTGTGAGGAGCTCACAAATCCTTGAAAGATCTGGGCAAAGTCCCATCGGTGAGCTCCTCCGGTAGGCAAGGCTGCGTTGGCTGGGTCATGTAGCCCGCATGCCCAGCTACCGCATGCCTAAACAGCTTTTGTTCGGCCGGTTCGAGGGGGCTAAAACACGGGCTAGAGAAGAGATGGAGTGATGTGGTACAGGAGGACGTAGAGCTGAGTGGACTTGCCGATGACTGGTACCAGTAGTGTCAAGATCGGCCTCAGTGGAGGAGGCTCGTGAAGGACGCTACTGGGCAGTTGGAGGCAGTCGCCCTCCAACAACAACGGAGGGCGGAGGAGCGACACTCACAGCAACGAGCAGAGCGCCGGGTTGCTAAAGCACAGCAAGTTGGTACGGTAGGGGGCACAGGTGGTGCATCAGCCAGTCATCTCGGTCATCTCGGTCAGTCGACCCGTGGCACCTGCTGGGTCTGCCCCGTGACCTCCTGCCAGCGGGCGTTCGACACTTCACGTGGCCTCAAGGTGCACTTGGCCTGGCACAAGCGTCGTGGTGACGTCACCGCCACTTAGTGGCGAATGGTGGTTGTTGTTGCATAGGTGTGTATGTGTAGGTGTGTAAGTGTGTAGAGGTGTGTGTGTGTAGGTGTGTGTAAGTGTATAGAGGTGTGTGTGTAGGTGTGTGTAAGTGTATAGAGGTGTGTGTAGGTGTGTGTGAGTGTATAGAGGTGTGTGTAGGTGTGTGTAAGTGTATAGAGGTGTGTGTGTAGGTGTAAGTGTATAGAGGTGTGTGTGTGTAGGTGTGTAAGTGTGTAGAGGTGTGTGTGTAGGTGTGTGTAAGTGTGTATAGGTGTGTGTGTGTAAGTGTACGGAGGTGTTCGGGGAGTAACCCTGGCAGCGTAACGCTGCTGGCGTCTCGTGCTGCCGCCTGTACCGCGCCTTGTCCACCAGAGGGCATCGCCTACCCACGGGTTGTGTGGCGTCAGGGTGAGAAGTGGAGGGTGGGGGGAGGGGTCCAGGGAAGGGGGGGGGGGCTGCTGCTGCAGCGCTCAGCAAGGGGTCGTGCTTGGTGCACCACTGCCAATTCTTTATTGCATCGATCTATCTCATTCTTTGTCTCTGCTTTTATTTCCTTGCGCCCGAGTATGCACCGCTACTTGTGGTACCCTCTCTGTACTCATTGGAGAGCCACGTCCAAACCACTAAATCTTCTTGTTTCTTGTGTGAAGCCCTCTCCAATATTTTATTTGATTTCTGCAAAAGGGCTGCTGCCATGACTGTGGAATGGTTGTCACGATTGACTTAAAATGTCGCGGTTCGATCTCCCAGCCTGGCCTTGAAAACATTGACCAGGATTCTTACAATTCCCTGTTTTTGTCCACCCACAGTCCATCGGTGGGTCGAGTGCAGTGGGCTAAATGGCGAGTACTCCCACCTCTTTCAAGACGTATGGTCAGTGTGGAAAAGTTGGCCAAAAAAAACCCACCGGATCAGCACTCTAGACCTCCCTCTAGTGGGGGTTCTTTCACCAGCAGTTGCATGAGCAAGTAATTGCAGGGCTGCACCATTAACCTCACGTGTACAACAATCATCTGGTTTCTGTGCATTTCAGAACTCCTTGATCCAGACCCCAGCATCCCAGTGGTGCAGGCTCAGTGCTCTGCATCGGTGTTACCATTGCGCCGTTGCATCTCTGCAACCACGTGCCACCCGTTGCCGCGTGTAACGTCGCTGCACCCTGTGCACCGCACGTGTCAACAGCCCCTGCCGCTGCTCCGCCGGGACACCGGCTTGATCCTGACGATGTCTCAGGAGCAGGCCGCCTGCCTCCTGGCCAACGCCTTCTTCTGCACGTTCCCCCGGAGCAACGCCACCGGGACCCGGAGCGAGGAGCTCTGCCTGCCCCGACATCAACGTCAACAGGTGCAGCAGCAGCAGCCCATCACTGTGCATTACACACCGAACACCGTGTGTCATGCAGTACACACACACAGATGCCATGCTCTTTCTATGTAGAGTATTTCTTGCTGTATATGTAGCGTCGGAAATGCAAAGCACACACCACACTGTATGCTTACCTGTAGTTGCAGGCACGAGTCTGCAGGGGGTGCCACCCTGAGTTAGAGAGAGAACCGGGACCGTTGAGAGGCCGAGTCCCCCCCCCCCCCGACCCCAGGTGAGGGGTTGGGGGGTTATTCCAGAGCCACCTGGAAGGTTCCAGAAAGGGGGCAGTACCGGGGGTGGAGAGTCCCCGAGGTGGGTAATAAAGACGGACCCCAGGACGGCCCGAGGCAGTGCTCTGAAGACGAAGAATGAAGACCGGCTAGGCAAGGACCCTGGGACCCTGGGACCCGGGACCCGACGTCCTTTAATGGGCCGGGGCCGAGCACGGACCAGTGGTCGAGACCCGCACCTTGGCTGGGTCGGGTCAGCATAGCCTCCCCTAGGCCACCCTTAGTCGGAGGACTCAGAGCCCGTAGCCCCAGTGATAGGGCACGTTAGCCCGGAGGCCATACCTCCCCAAGTAGTGGGAGTAAAAGGGGCTTCTGTTATAAGATTTAAATAAACCGTGTTGCCTCTAAGCTACGTCTCCAGTCTCCGTGGGAACCCACTACATATACACAAGAAATGCTGTTCTACACATAACGGCCATGCCATGTTTCAGTTCAAAGTAACGCTGCAGTACGTGCACAGGCTATGCTCCTTTACACATACTCTGTATTATACGGCACACACTTTCATGGTGCTGTGTACACGGTATATGATGCGTTACACATAGGCCATGCTGTATTATAAACTCCGTTCAAAGTATCAGTTTATACGTAGCCAATGCCACTGTACAAAGACAAAAATCCCCCTCATAGCCTTAACAGATTTTTGAGGCAAGTGGTGTTAGTGAGCACCTAATGAGGACTGGCACAGTACACAGGGGAGTGGGTGGCCAACACCATGCCCAGCCGCATTTGTCTCCCTCGTGGTGATGTGTACACACTGCATCAGGTACTCATTTGAGGTTGAGTCGACCATGGGGAGGCCCAGGACCGGTTCAGATATTTCCCACTGTTATACCGGTAGGAACAACAGGTTCCACACTGCCCACCAGGGATTATTTGTCTGTCGTGCATATGGGGAGGGGAGGGTGGGGGTGGGAGGGGTGGGGCTGGGTGGAGAGGGGAGGGTGGGGAGGGGCTGGGGGAGGGGAGGGTGGGGAGGGGCTGGGGGAGGAGGGGAGGGGCTGGATGGGGAGGGTGGGGCTGGGTGGGGGGTGGGAGGGGTGGGGCTGGGTGGGGAGGGGCTGGTCACCCCGTGGTGCCCTTATAAAACTCAACGTTTAACCTACACACTACACTATACACGACACGATAAACTACACCAGGGGTCCTCAAACTACGGCCCGCGGGCCACATGCGGCCCACCGAGGACATTTATCCGGCCCATGGTCACTAATTGGGCTGCGGTGGTGGGCACTCATTGGGCTGCGGTGGCGAGCACTGATTTGGCTGCGCTGGCGAGCACTGATTGAGCTGCGGCGGTGAGCACTGATTGAGCTGCGGCGGTGGGCACTCATTGGGCTGCGCTGGTGAATGGTTCAATGGGCCAATTGACTGGACTTGCCCCCCAGGCCTAAGGCTGCCAGCCCTCCCCTGGCTGTACTTGACTGGCTCTCCCTCCCTCAGCTCACTCACTTGCCCCTCGGCTCCACTCCCAGTGATATTCCTGTGTGCTGAGTAAATGATAGAGGGGTAATAACAGAGTGATCTCTGATCTCTGGAGGGGCTGCCTGCTGTTTTCCCGTGCTGGTCAGTGACAGACAGCCGAGGAGTAGGAAACCCAATTTAAATGACAGTAAGTGCATTTATATTCTGATTGCTATTCAGTTGTATGAGGTTATATGTTGTATGTTGTGTAAGCCCCGGTTCATACTGTTGCGATCTCTGAGCAGTGCGAGTTCAGCCATATGCTTGTATGGCTGAACTTGCATTAGATTCGGAAGAAAAAAGGCACATGTGCCTTCTTTTTTCCTGCAGTGGAATCGGATCGCATGGGTCTTCTCCCCCATGCGATCAGATTCCTATGCGAGTTCGCAGATCGCACTGCGATCTGTGAACAAAACTGCAGGTGTAATTAACTTTTTAATGGCACCCGCACCAGTGTGAGCCTGGGGTAAAAGCGGAGTTCCCCCAATCAGACAGCATTGATGGGCAGTGCAGTCTGTATGTCTCTGTGTGGGCAAAGTTATTGCTGGTATATTGTTTTTGTAGCGCTGTATATGTATATTGGTATTTTACTAATAGCAATTTTGACTCCCTTGGAAACAATGATGTCAAGAAAGAGAAAAATTGACTCGGAGTGTAGGATATTCAAAGAACAGTGGACTTATGATTACTTTTTCATGCAGTACAAGGAAAGAGCTGTGTGTCTGATATGCCAGAACATAGTGTCTGTGTTCAAAGAATACAATTTACGTCGACACTATGAAACTCAACATAAAGATAAATATGATTGGTCGGAGAAGTGAAAAAAGATAAAATATTAAAACTGAAAAATACACACTACAATGACAATAGTTTAAAGTTTAAACTATTGTCATTGTAGTGTGTATTTAATGTGGCGCTGCACTCTGATGTTGTAGGAGAAAACATGTATTAAAAAGTCTATTTAATTAAGTAGAACGTGTTGTCTATATTTATTTAAAGTTGCGCATTTTGATGTGACGTCACATTTATCAACCCCCCCCCCCCCCAATCGTCACACATGTCTGACCCCCCCCCCAGGTGCGTGACGTCATTTATGGACGGCCCCCGAGTCCCCTGCCTCTGAGAGTTCCCAGCGGCTTGAACAAAAAACCTTCAACCTCGACAGACAACGCGAGACCACTACCACCTCTGCCACCGCCTCCTGTCAGCACTGTACTGGCCTGCGTGCGGAACTTCTTCCGCACCGTACGTAGCTAGTCCGAGGTGCTAATTTAGGATCCCTCTCCAACTTCCACCTCTTCACTGCCCCCCCCCCCAGACAGGGCAAACGTTGACAGCGGGCACGGGCTACGGAGCATGGATCCCGTGCAGGAGAAATGTCGAATGTGCGTGGGGAGCGTCAGCGCAGCACGCGGACACGGCGAGTCCAAGGTGCACGCACACCACAGGCGGCGCACGCGAGACCCCAGCAAGTCTGGACTTGCGCGAGAAAAATAATAAAATTATCATCTAAATCACTCAACACGAATTGGTTAACGCTTGTCACTGATAATCCAGAGTGACGCCTCACGTGTCGCTTGTTGTTGTGTTTGTTACCCGGGCATGGCAGCTGCGCGTATTGTGCGTCGTGTTGTGTGTGTTAGTCTGTAAGTTCGTTGTGAATGTTGTGGATTTGCTCTCCAGCACACAACCGATTAGTGCTGTGCTCGTCACGAATTGGCCACGTTCTGTTTACGTGACAAACCCCTTCCTAGTTGGCTGTGTCGGGTGGTTTAACGACACATTTATATTTACGCGATTTAACCCAAAACACGTCTAGTATGTAACTGTGTCTGTATGTTGTATGTATCTGTGTATGTATCTATGTACCAGTGTATGTATGTTGTATGTATATTGTATGTATGTAACTGTGTGTAACTATGTATGTTGTATGTATGTATCTGTGTATGTATCTGTGTGCGTAAGTTGAACTTCTTCCGCACCGTACGTGGCCACGCGTGGTGATCGCGGGCGAGGCCGAGCGACGCGAGAGGGGTGAGGGGGGGGCAGCTGCGGGTCGCTGCTGGACGGAATGTTCACTCAGCAAGCGCGCGTGCTGCTGCTGGGTTTGGACGCGGCCGGGAAAACCAGCATCCTGTACAAGCTCAAGCTCGACGAATCCGTGGTGACCATCCCGACCATCGGCTTCAACGTGGAGACCGTGCAGCCCATCAGGAACGTCACCTTCACCGTGTGGGACGTGGGCGGCCAGCAGAAGATCCGCGCTCTCTGGAGGCACTACTTCCAGAACACGGACGGGCTCCTCTTCGTGCTGGACAGCGCGGACCGGGAGCGCTTCCCGGAGGCTCTCAAGGAGCTGGACGCCATCCTGGACAGCCCCGAGATGACGCGGGTGCCCTTCGTGCTCCTCGCCAACAAGCAGGACCTCCCGCGGGCAGCGGCCACCGCGGAGGTGGCGGAGGCGATGAAGGCGGTGAAGACGCGGCACGGGCGCGAGTGGCTGGTGCAGGGCTGCTGCGCCCGCACCGGAGAGGGCCTCCTGGAGGGCGTGGGGCAGCTCTCCCGCTTCATCCGCAACTCCAGAGCCTCCTCGGGGACAAAGTGAGCTCGGCTCGGCAGCAGCAGCAGCAGCGGCGGCGGTGTCACTCCAAGGCGGCGTCTCTCGTGCACGTGGGGGGGGGGGGGGGGGGGGGGCTTCGAGTTGTGTCCACTGGTCGAAACTTCACTCGAGCGAACGCCGTCATTCAAACCAACAGCTCGCTGTGTGTGCCTCTGCATGTGTGGATGTCTCTTGGTGTGCTGTTGCTCTGGTTGTCCCTCTGGGCTGCCCAGAAATATCTTTCCATGTGTGTCTTCTCTGTGTATGTACCTCGTGTCTGTTCACGAGTCCCTGTCCTCTGTTTTTACGTTGGCATGTTCAGCCCAGATGATGAACACGAGAGATGTATCAGTCTTTTGAAATACGTGGTCAACCAGGTGAGTGTCTAACTGTGTTGTTGGCCGACTGGTTTGCATCACGTGATTGTTTCTAAGGTCTGTTGAGTTTCTCGTCTCCCATCTTCTTGTTGCATTTGCTTACGTGTAGTTCGCCCTTCTCTATGTGCTATGTACGTGATGTCCCCCTGTGTGTTCCCTCTTTCTATGTTTCACCCCATTTTCACCTGATGATGAGCGCTTGTGTTGCGTTCGAAACGTCGTGATTTATTTAAATTTAATTTATTTAAATTTTATTTTATTTCTACATACGTGTCTTTACCGGAAAAAAAACAATGAGTAAAACAGCTTGTTGTGAAAGACCCAATGCAGAAGATCGCTGGGTTTGGTCTTCCACGAAGCTGCTCACGGTCCACCCTAAACCGCAACCACTGCACAAAACACGGCAGTAGATGCGGATACCCTGATGCACAAACGTTAAATTAGAAACTCTCCAGGAGCCTGCGACTGTGGCCATCCAGAACAGACCGTGCAACGTGTAACGGCGCAATGCCCGGTCCACAAACACGACGGAGACGTCACAGCGAGACACTCACTACCACTGCTTCTCACGCGGTGATCTTGGCTTGCCCACCTGGATGTGACTTCATAATCGTCTGCTGTGCACCTGCATCAGCAGCCACACGAACGAAGCAGCAGCAGAAGAAGAGAACGCGGTCGCGTCCACGTGCACGCGCCACGCGACTGCGCGTGCCTCTCGCTGCGAGTGAACCTCCGCATCGTCGTCAACTGCGGACTGCAGGTTCACATTCGACGTCGGCTGTCGCTCTGTGATTCCACACTGGGGGGCAAACGCCTCCCCCGAGTTGATTCCGTTGCGCGCTTTCCTTGCAGCCGTCGCGTCGCGGCCTCCGGATGCTTTGGGTTCATCTCGCCATCTCTATGGGTCAACTTTGACCGCTCGTGGTTTAGATATATATATGTGAATGGCATCTGTAAATTAAAAGCGGCACAATCTCTGCAAGTTCTTTTTCATTGAAGGCACTTTAATGGCTCGTCTCATTTTCAGAAATACTTTTATAGACCAATAACATTTCCGAACATCTGGAGATAATTGTAGGATATATTTTTCCCGTCTGTCATACAATGAGATTGTTTGACCCTAATGGTTAAATTCATCAACTTACTCAATTTCCGTGCCCTTTGCGTTCACATGTTCTCTTAAACTGTCGTCAATTTACTTGTTTCTGGCTTTGCACTGCTCCATAAAATCTGTAATAAATTTTGAAACCTATTTTCGTGATAAATAATAAACTAGACAATGTAATCAGCGCAATGTAAATGTTTTAAATGTTTATGGTTCATATTCTCTCTGATTTCGTTACCCCGATGGTGATACGGGCGTTACCTTCACTGTTCGTGTCCTTCAGAGTGACAGATCGTTTACACTCCTCGTTGTCTTACACTCGCTAACTATGGATGGTGTACAGGACATGTAATGGAATGCCTTGTGGTATAAATCTATGACAGCTTGATCAATGTATTTGCCGTACGCATTGTACTTGTCTGTTATTTGATTGAAGGTGGCCTGATGTTGATAATGATTTCATGAATTCTGTTTTCTTCGTCGGTTTGTTGTTGTCTAATGTATCACATTTTTAGTGGATAATGTTGATGAATATTTTGTAGATGCACGAACCGAGGCTGATAGTCGTATGATTATTAAGATCCAATCGTCACGTTTGTGCAATAAATAGTTTGGGATCAGACAGTGTCGTTACCGTTAAATGTTCTCGGATTGTGCGACCTGATTTACATCTTGCTTCAAGCAGTTCTTCTTGACTCGAGTTTAAGATTGTTGCCCAAGTTTTCATCTTCGGACGATCGCACGATTTAACGTGCCTATTAACGATGTAAAAGTATCCCTAGACGCAGCTGATGATACAACTACTGGCTCCACAGAAGCAAATGAAACGTGTTACTGCATTTTAGAGCCTTAACATTCACCACTTATCATCAGCGCCTCCAGCCTGCCACTGTCGAAGATATGGGGATGAGGCACCAGTAGCCGTCCTGCAAACCTCAAGGGTCAGAATCAGAACCTTTATTCATACCGGAGGAATCCGATGAGCTATAAAGCTCTTTTTCACAGGTGTCCAGTAGGGACACGGGGTCAGAACGTTACAACAAACAATACAAAAACACGAAAGGAGTGGAAAAGATAGGAAAGAGGAAAAAAATATATTTAAACATAAATATACAAATAAAACTAAACGTGTATTTTTATTTTCCAGATAAGGCCCACTGAACTATATATATTCTTTTTAAGAAGCGACCCGGCCACAAATTTTAGCTCAACGAAGCGGCTTATCACGTGGAAATTTATAATAGCAAAGTAATATAAATAATCTAAACGCTTGAAAGTTGATTCTAAATGTGGAGTGAATCCCAGAGGACAATCCACAAGACCACGGGGAGAGAGAGAGACATTCACACTCCAACTATACAACAAACGTCAGGGTGAGGATCGAACCCAAGCCCTCCTGTATACCAGGCGAGGTAGTTAACATCTCGCCACCGTGGCGCTGTCCACACACGGCAGGCCGAGTCCAGTGACTCTGCAAGAAAGAGACGTCACCATCTGCGGGTCACCCAATGTGTGTTGCCGGAGCAAGGTCTCCTCGCTCTCGGGAGTCCAATGGGGTCTGTCACCTATCCTGAAGCCTCACATATCAGAACGACCGCGAACTGTTCTACATTGTGCAGTGTTTGTGGGATCTGAAGAAGGTGGTTGCGATGGTGACGGTGAAACCACTCCGGTTCTCGTCGTCTTGCTGGTAGGGTTCAACATCAGGGGAATCCGCCATCTCATTTCAGTTTCTGCCGCAACAGCCCCGGCTCGTTCTGTGATCTTTACCCGTCAGAATGACTGCGATTCCCTTCGTTTTGGTCTCCCTGCCTCTGCCCTCACTCCCCTGCAACAAATTCAAAAGGCTTCAGTTGATTATCTTTAATTCTCACACTTCCCCTCTCCACTGGCTTCCCGTTCACTCCACCGCTGTATTTTCAAATACCTCACGCTCGACTTTAAATCTCTTCATGGCCTTGTCCCACCTCATCTCGCCTCTCTCATCTTCCATAAACCTCCTCGCATCCTCTTCGTTCCCTTTCTTCTCTCTATCTCTATCCCTCCTCCCTGGCCCAATTCCGTTTTCAATTCTTCTCCCTCATTGCACATCTCCACTGGAAAAGAAGTCCTCTACATTGAGCAGCCCTGCTACCCCAAGTCTCAACACTGCCTATAGACTCAACATTGCCCACAGACTCAACACTGCCCACAGACTCAACACTGCCCATAGACTCAACATTGCCCACAGACTCAACATTGCCTATTGACTCAACACTGCCCATAGACTTATCACTGCCCGTAGAATCAACATTGCACCATAGACTCAACACTGCCCATAGACTTATCACTGCCCGTAGAATCAACATTGCCCACAGACTCAACACTGCCTATAGACTGATCACTACCCGTAGAATCAACATTGCACCATAGACTCAACACTGCCCATAGACTTTCGCGACCAATGTTATTAATAATCAACGTTTTTGGGTTTAGATCGCGTTTATTTATAAATGTGTCGTAACCCTCCACCACCCGACACGGCCAATCAGTAAAAATGTGTCACGTTGACAAAGACAAATAGTTCACTGCTTTAGCCCACCGGTGTGTTGAAGCCACAACATTTAGAATTTGAGTACGACGTTTCGCTGGTAATTGCAACCAGCATCATCGGGCAATTCGCCAGAATGGTTCTGGCGAACATTGCCCACAGACTCAACACTGCCCACAGACTCAACACTGCCCATAGACTCAACACTGCCTATAGACTCAACACTGCCCATAGACTGATCACTGCCCGTAGACTCAACATTGCACCATAGACTCAACACTGCCCATAGACTCAACATTGCCCACAGACTCAACACTGCCTATAGACTCAACACTGCCCATAGACTGATCACTGCCCGTAGCCTCAGCATTGCACCATAGACTCAACACTGCCCATAGACTCAACACTGCCCATAGATTTCGATTTAAAGCTTTCGTGACTGCAGGGATTCATCTTCTTGGTTCTTTCGGTAAAGTCACGTAGAAGGGAAGTAATAAAATAATAAAAATAAAACATAATAAAACAATTCTCACGACGTTTCGGCCACAACGCAAGCAGCCGTCTTCAGGTGAAGAATGAGACACTACCAAGCTAGGAGCTTATATATAAGCTGCGTTGGAGGTGGAAGAGCGCCTTAACAAAAATAATGTGCATATGAAGAGGAATTTAGCATATTCATGGAAAATGCGTAGGAGGTGGGCGGGGGGGTTTCAAAGTCATATTATGCCCATGCATTATGCAGGATCAGCAGCACCAAAGGGGGGTGCAGGGAGTAGCAGTAACAAAGGAAAGGAATGTTAATGATATGTAGCTGCAGTTACTCAACAACCACGTAGAAAACTAAAGTATAAACTACATAAAAAACTAAAGTATAAACTGCATAGCACCATCAGTATACTTACTATACTCTACAATAAGCTGAGTTACTAACAGCAAGTAATACATTACAATTCTACGTCGTATAAATTATATAATATGCTTCCATCTAAACTTT